TTTGACCTCCAAAAATATGTTCCAATTTCTGTGGTTCGAATAATAAATGGAGTTCTGCAGTAGGATCTGCTAGAGTCTTTAGGTTATTGATATATCTCTCCATATAATTTGTCATTCATATATATCTCCATATAATTTGTTTTCAGATCACAAGCAGAAAATGAGGATATTTTCTCGTGAGAGTTAGAAATATTTCCCCTCAAAGCACTGGAAATATTTATCAGAAAATATTTTCTGCCTTATTAGAACGTAACAGTTACTATTAGCTTCATAAATCAACTCTTCAACAAATGTTATTAAACTTTCCCATAATTTAAGGCTAAACATCTTATTTGTAATGGATTTTTAGTTAACACTTTAGCCAACTGAAACCTTTTTTACTCGTACCAATATTTTTTTTTCTTGTCAACCTTTTCACGAAGGAGAGAAATTGAATTTCCGAATTCATCGCGTATGAGGTTTAATTTAATACAAAGTACGCATCTCAGCTGTTCATTTTCCTACCATTCCACCAGTCGTAAGTTTTTCAAACTCCACCCATAAAAAAATCACTCCATTAAAAAACCCATCGAATGCCACCCGTTTCAATCTCCGTGTTCCCTATTTGTACCGTCACTCCGCCTCTGAAACCTCCCGCGTACGCCTCCCTCCCTCCCCTTCCAGGAGGTGTCCCTCGCCCCTCCTCCACGTGTTGCACTGGAAGAAGACGACTCGTGCGCGCGTCGCCTGGGAGGCTGCGCGGCTGCGGGCGCGAGGGGCGGCGAGGCGAGGCGAGGAGCCTCAGACGCTGCGAGGGCGCGGCTGCGGGTAAGTGGCGGCAGCGCCGGCCCCTCTGTGTGCGCAGACCGTCAACATCCCCAACGCGTACGAGGACGAGCGCTTCGACCCGGCGGTGGACGACGGCACCAGCTTCCGCCACCACAGCATCCTGTGCATGGCCATCAAGAACTCCTCGGGGCAGATCGTCGGAGTCATTCAGGTAAACAAAGTTCTGTACGGTTGTTTTATTGGTTGTTTCGCGTTTCCGGGCGCGCCAACTACTATAGTCAATATTGTTTTATCACGGGAGGTGGCGGTGTTCCTTCCCCGCTAGGTGGTCAAATCCGACACACGTTCGCTTGCGGGTTTTTTCGCAACAAGGTATCTCCCACCAGAGGGTCCCAGTCCCAGTCGGGACACGCTTTAATCTCCCAACTGGTCTCTTGTCACGTGCAGTGGTGTAGTGTGGGGTGTGTATGTGAGGGGTGAGGATAGGACAAGGAAGAGGAAGCAAAGATCGCGCGCGGTTTTGATCCGGTTTGTAGGGTACGACTTTCGCCTGGTGTTGATCGGAGAAACCACGAAAAACTACCGATCAGAGTCGGTCGCTAGAGTCATTCAGGTTCTGACAATCCGTTTGTTTATTTCGCGCTTCCGGGCGCGCCAACTGCTATGGTCATTAGTCCCGTGTTTTTTTATCACGGGAGGTGGTGGTGTTTCTTCCCCGCTGGGTGGTGAAATCCACGCACGTCCGCTTACGGTTTTTTCGCAACAAGGTATCTCCCACCAGAGGGGAAAAGCTTTAAGCTCCCAACTGATCTGTCACGTGCAGTAGTGTAGTGTGAGTGTGTGTGAAAGTATGGGGTGAGGATAGGACAAGGAAGAGGAAGGAATGATCGCGCACGGCGTTGGCCCGTTTTGCACGGTACTGCTCCGGCATTCGCCTGGTGTTGAACGAAGAAATCACGGAAAACTACCGATCAGAGAAGCCGGCGGCTAGAATTCTCCTCCAGAGAGCTGCTTAATTCGACCCAGCTATCTAGCTAGTGTGGAAAATCCTTCCACCGACGGGACTCGATCCCTAGGTCCTCTCGGATAGAGGTACTTCAGTGACACAGGTTGATGCCCTGATAAAGTTCAGTAGATTTGCATTGTCGATATTGCTCCCTGGGCTGGTCGGTTGTGGTTTAGGTGAAATACCAGTTCTTTCAACAGAAGTTTCGGCTGCACCTACGACAGATCTTTAATGCCGATGAGACAAAGGTCATAGATACTCCTGACCGGCTCCTGGCTGATTAGTGACGCAGAAACTAGTGACACTGGTCAGTCAGAAGCCGATCAGAAGGGGCCTACGACCATTGCCCACTAATGCCTTATCATTTCCTTCCTTTGATAATGTACTGCTACGGCATTCGCCTGGCTACGATAGGAGAAACCACGGAAAACTATCAATCAGTGCATCCGCCAACTTAAGTTCTCGAGTGTTTGAATTCGACATAGCCGTGTATCAAATGACGAAAATTCATTTTCGTCAAGACACGAAACCTAGAACCATGCGGTTAGCAACGCCGTAAAGGCAACGACAACGACGACACTGAGCCATAACAGCCGGTACCACGTGTTCGGTGTTGTTATCAGATTGCGCCACATACAAATTGCGTGACATCGGTTGATCGTTGAAACAACTCGTTGACGGG